GGCTAATCAGGCGTGTACAGAAGCTGTTGGCCTCTAGTTGAACTGCGGCTAACTGACAAAAGCAGCTTGCTATAGCACTGCACTGACAAATACGTCAACAACTCAATCGCAGTGGATCGAAAAGGCAACAAGGCTACCGTTTTTGGATATCGGGCTATCAGCTGCTCAATGCGCTTCACTTAGCGTATCGGCAAATCTCTAAATTGCCACAAATTAACAGATAATTCGCTGCAGTTGCAACAGAGACGCAACTGGCAAGTGGCAACTGGCAACTGGCAAGTGGCAAGTGGCAAGAGGCGAACGACAAGAGCGACTCGCTAAACAGATTCCGTTTGACTCTGGCGCGCAAAGGCGACGCTAATAGATACTTTGCGTGCTCACACTTTCCAAGGGGATGGGGAGGGGGAGGGTTAGCGGTTGGGGGAAGGGGGTAGTGGCAGGGGGTAGAGAGGTGCTCCGACCAGCTGGACGAAGCCAGCCAACGAGCTGTGTGTTGCACAATACCCAAATCCAATTTTCGAATTCCCACATGCGTTCATTATCGGTCTGGACGCGGACAACACACACACGCACTAAAGCACGCACACACACGCTCACACACTCGCACACACGCACACACACACACACTCTTTCGGCTGCTGTGGCGGGTGCGCGCGTGCGCATAACTCATTTCGCACTTTGTCCATTTCATAAGACCAATTAAAGCGCCTCGCTCTGAGCCAGAGTCGAAGCAGCAGCCGAGCAGCAGCAGCAGTTGGACCAGTCACAGCTCCAAGAGATTCGGAATCGCAGTTGGATTCGGCTGGAGGGGGCGCACCGTGGGGCGCCTTTTGGCTGCGACAATTTTCCATGCATACGCGCTGCCAAGCGACGCGTCGGATTAAGTGGGAAATTTGACAAATGCGCTGAGATTGGCTCCCAGCCTCGAACTGGATGATAATCACCTGCTGCCTCTGCCCTCCCTGCCCGCCTTCCGGCCAGCCAACCAGCCAGCCGGAGACCGTCTCGAGCAGAGATTTAGCCAACATTTGCGGAAACATACAAATTTGCGCATTTGTCCAAAGCAGCGTGAACATTTGCACAATCAGCGAGGCAACGAGGCAGCGATTCAGCGAGCCCGAAAACCAATGATTCGCATCATCTTCAGCAGCAATTGCGGACAGTGGCGTAGCCCGGCAGGGGCTGCCCATTTAACTCCCCCTCCGTATGTTGAGCTGTGCAGGAAAGGGGTAATTAACTGCATTTTGAGCTGATGATTTGAGAGATCTTATGGAATGAAGAATAATAAGCTACAGGGCTTGAGTCGCCGGCTGGTATTTGAATGTAGCCTGAGATTCTAACTCTCTGCTTATTTGTTTGGATATTTAGAAAAACAACTGTAGGATAAAAAAGGTCCAGGGTTCGAGTTCCAGACTGTTGTATGAATGTAGCCTCATTGACAGCTTTATATATAACTATAGCTATAGCTAGATATTTTTATGCGATTTACCTATAAATGCTATATTTTGTCTGTGGCTAACGGACATATTACATTGAGTTAGCCTTGCTGAGAGCTGAGTTTACATAGGTGTTATTATTGGGTGTTATCATAGGATGTTATTATCAAAGAATATTATTATCAAATTTTCATTCCGGCTAAGATATTATTCACTTTAAACCTCTTAGGCATAAATATTTTGTGTCTCACAATTATAATTCCCTGCAAGCTTATATTAATGTTTCTTTTTAGTCATTCCCCCCTTCAAAACCTTTGTGCAGCCGCCACTGACTGCAACTGCAGCTACCAAAGGGGAGCTCAAGTTAAAAAAAAAAAAAAACGAAAAAAACGAGAACCTGACTGCCTTTTTTAATGCGCACATTTCGTTTTCAATGCGATTCGACCACGAAATTATGTCAATAACTGAGGTCATATGCATAAATTCTGGTCAGGGGCCGACGTCGTGTCTCGCCTGCCACGCAGACCCACAGACCCATAGAGAGCCAGGGCGCAGGCCAGCCCAGGCCAGGCCAGGCCAGTGGCTGCGGCATGTTTAACTGCATACTAAATGCAAGAGGCAGCCCGCTTGCCACACCCCGCGTCACTTGCCGCCGCTGCTGGGCCCAGCTGGTGCTTTTCATTAAGAATTAAGTCAAATGCGGATAGTTGAGCTGCTTGCGGACTTGCGGACTCGTTTGGCAAGTGCACGTGGCTCGTGTTTGTTGTCGACGCCACCAAAAGAGCGCTGCAACAGACTCAGACACAGACAACAGACAACAGACAAGGGACAGCGGAAAGCAGACAGCAGACACCAGAGCGAAGCCATCCATAATATGGCCCAGCAGCATACGCCCGCACCGCCGCGCAGCACAACGGACACAACGGCATGCTAATAAAACGATATTTTATTGCTTTTTGGCGGCTCATCATGGCTAAAATGGTAATGGGAGCTGTGCGGGGAATGCGGGGCATGCGGGGCATGCGACATGGCAAATTGGCTGGCACTTGTGTTGGCCGGCAGTCGTGCGTGGCCAAACGCATTCATTGCCAGCCACAAAGATTAAATGCTCCATTTGCAGCCGCCTGATTGACAGCAGCCGGTTGGCGGGGGGGTGGCGGGTGCAGCGGCTCCTCCCACAGCTGCCTAGTTGTGAAAATTGCAAGCAAGCAGAAACCAGGACTTGCAGGTTCTGACCTAGTAATTGCCTTGTAAGACCTGCAGCAGCAGCAGCAACAAGCACCACCACCAACTCTTAACGGGGCGAATTGGTTAGAAACTAGCCCATAACACGATTAACCCACATCTTGGACGACGCGATCATAAATTATTATGCAGCTAAGGCAGCCGGCTGGAGCAGGCATGTCGCGCGTTTTTCTCTTCTTTTCTATTTTTTTTTTTTTTTGTTTTTTGGCCATTTGGCGACTGCTGCTGCTGCCGCTGCTGCTGCTGCTTCTTCTCCTTCTGCCAGCCACGAGCTCTGGGTACAAGCTGCAGCGGCACGAACATGACTTTCTAGCGGATTTCTTTGCATGCGCCTGGCGCGCTTTTGTTGTCGCTCCTCGCGGCGGCTGCCGGGTCCAGAGTTGGGTAGCTAGACACACATACCACGCTGCTTTTTGTACCCTTTAAGTTATTGATTGAATAGGGTATATTGATATGACAACCAGCTGGGTCCCTCTGGCCATGTTTGTCTGTCTAGAGTTTCAAATTAGTTATAAGTGTATATGAAAAAACAAATTTATTAATTTCCTCGATAAGTTTAATATTCCTTAAAATCGATCAAAATCGATTTGGCAAGTTAAGTCATCGATAACTTTTTTATTTCCTAAAATCGAAATGGCAATCGATAAAAATATAAAACACATCCCGTCGGTTACAAGAGTTTGAAGCACCTAATTTTTTTATTTAGTTTATTTTACTCTTCGCATGCTTAAGCGGATTTTGTCAACAACTTTAATTTAAACCCTTTATGCGAATCATTAATAGGGATCCGCACAGCTTAAAAAGGTATATCATTCCCAAACCGGACATTGTTTATCCAAGATAATCAACAACAAAAAAACTCAAAGAGTTTCCGCGCGGAATTATGTCGTCTTTAAAATCAAAATCAACATTTTTACCCAAATTGGAAAAAAAATTAATTAAAATAATTCTAATTATTATTTTTACGAAAATCGGGTTTGGTTTAAAAATGAAAATTGTTTTGATGATTTTTTTGGAATATCTCGCAAATATCTCCGCTTGGAGATATGACGTTCCAAAACGACATATCTCCGCTTGGAGATATGACGTTCCAAAACGACATATCTCCGCTTGGAGATATGACGTTCCAAAACGACATATCTCCCGCGTCATACCAAGCGGAGATATCTCCGCTTGGAGATATGACGTTCCAAAACGACATAGCTCCGCGGGAGATATGACGTTCCAAAACGACATATCTCCCGCGTCATAACAAGCGGAGATATGTCGTTTTTAAAACTTCATATCTCCCGCGGAGCTATGTCGTTTTGGAACGTCATATCTCCAAGCGGAGATATGTCGTTTTGGAACGTCATATCTCCGCGCGAATATGGAGATTTGTCGTATGTAGGCGGAGTTATATCGCTTAAAAACAACATAATCTCTCGCAAATTTTTCATTTTCTATTTTCAGACAATTCTGCCAATCCCATGGACAACATATAATCAGCAAATGATCGATACCCTTGGTACCTAGTTGACCTATATATCCTTGGTTCCATATCATGGATATAGTCCTAGCGAACCTAAAGGACCGAGTTCTCGCAAAATGCGCGAGAACAGGGTCCAAAAATATGTATGCTTTTGTTTTACAGCCGCCCCCAGCAGCAGTCCCGCCCCCTGGATGGTTTCTAGTTGACTAACATATCCTTGGTTATACCATGCCATTGATATAGTCCTTGGAAACCTAAAGGATCAGATCCCTGCAAAATGTGCATTGAAATGGTCCAAAAACATGTATGATTTTTCTTTTACATTAGCTGCAGCTGCAGCTGTTGTTTAACAGCCGCCTTACATCACGCTGTTTACATTATCTGCTATTTAACAGTACTCATTTTAATTGAGTTACATTTTTGCCCCTTAATGCTATGCAATGAAAATTTTTATTCAAACCACTCGGCGACCTTCTGGGCATTTCTGTTCGCCTGGTATTTGAGTGGAATTTTAGGGCAAATTTGGGGCGTAGCCGCCGACCAGGGCGCCCCGTGAGGGTATGCAATGAAATTTTTCGGCAGCTAAAAATATTTTTTGTCGACCTTCTGGGCATTTCTGTTCGCCTGGTATTTTGGCAGAATTTAAGAAAAATCCCGGCAGGCAGCGGTTGCCAAAAAACGCCCCTTGGGGTATGCAATAAAAAACAGGAAATTCTTTTTTATTTTAAATATTTACTTTATTTATGTTTAAATGTATAAAATTGTTGTTTTTTATGCTAATTTCTTAATTATATGTCTTAAAAATAAACAAATCGAGCATAAATTACAAATTTTGTCTTTTTTTCGCTTAAAATAGCTATATCTGGCTTAATTGAAGTCTGATCCTGGAAAAATATGCTTTGTCAGTCGTGGAGGTCCTTAGAGCTCATTGTAGTCCTTAATTTGTCAGTCTGAAATGATAAAAACGCATTTAAAATGAAATAAATAAAAAAAATTTTTGTAAGGAAAATGGGCCATAACTCGGGCATGTCCTTGCAGATTTTCAAAGGACATGGTGCGTTAGGATCCTATAGACCCCCTGCATCGATCTGCATCATAAAAATATGGGGTCATCTAAGGATCATATTACCCGAAATTGGACTTGTAAAATTTCAGTCCCCGGAGCGCACGGAAATGGCCCGAAATCACAAATCCTTCAATATCTCCAAAACTAGCAGGACGATCTTAATGAATTTTGGCCAGTTGGTAGGCCTGGTCCATACAATTTATTTGCCACAGGACTCGTCAGGATACGACAGGATATGGCGGAGTTATGGCCTATTTTCTCTTTCAAAAATCGTCCTTAAAACTTCGCCGTTTGAAGGACTATCGTCCTTTTTTTTGTATTTTCTTAAATGGGAGGCCGAGCACTTTCTACAGTTCAAAGGACATCCCGATAGTCCTTCAAATGGCGAAGTTAGACCCGAATTTTTCGATTTTGGCCACTTTTGCGACTAAACCCCTATGAAAAATTTTGGTGAAATTTTTTGTCGAATCTTGGAAATCCTTGAATGCCAATCGATAGTCCTGTTCCCCACGAGTTCAAAAAGGTATATCCTTCCGATATCCTTAAGGATTTGGCCGAGTTATGACCAATTAAAAAATGTCCTTTTTAGTAAATAAGGCATATCTCGGAAAGTAGAAGGACGATTTTGATGTCCTTTGGACAGTTGATAGCTGGGATCAATACGAGTTGTTTGACACAGGACTCGTCAGGATACACAAGGATACGGCTGAGCTATGGCCTTTCTAATATTGAAAACAAATGTCCTTATATCCCGGCTCTTAGAAGGACTTTCGTCCTTTTCTTTGTATATTCTGAATTGGCAGGATAAGCACATTTTGCTCACCGAAGGAAATTCGCATAGTTCTTTAATTGCCCGAGTTATCGCCGATTTTGTGATCATGTCCTTTTTAGAAAAATAGCCATAACTCGGCCATATCCTAACAGATTTTCAAAGGAAATGGTGCGTTAGGATCGTATGGACCACCCGCATCGATCTACATCAAAATATGATGGGGTCATCTAAGAATCCACGACTTGGTAAAATTTCAACCGAAAATTACTTGGAAATTAGGTGAAAACAGAAAATCCTTGATATTTCGGAAAGGATAGGACGAGCTTGATGCCCTTTGGCCAGTTGGTAGCGCTGGTCAATACAATTTATTTGCCACAGGACTCGTCAGGATACGCCAGGATATGGCCAACTTATGGCATATTTTCTTTTGCGAACATGATCCTTAAAACTTCGACACGTCCATGGACATACATACAATCAGGAATTGAGCGCCATTCATGGCCTATATGTCCTTGGTTATTTTATATCATGGAGATTACTATCGATTGGCATTAAACATATGATAATCGGGGTCGCTTTGAAAATCTGAAATAAATTGGAATATTTAATATAAAAACCATTCGATTTTTGAAAGTAATACCTTTTTGAATTTGTACGGCAGCAGTGCAACAGCTGCATTGCCTGTCCCTCCGCTCCTCCTTAAATACTGGCAAGAAGGGGCTGGGCAGTAAAATGCGGCTGAGACTGCGCAGGATCCACTCTGTCCTTTTGCCAAACTGGGTAATTGGATCGCTATAAATAAATACAAAAATTCATCAATAAAAGGAAACGAAGTATAAGACTTAAATAAAAAATTAATTTTAGGTATGTTAATCCCCTGATTGTACAGTTAGTTTAACACGCGAAGGAAAAGTATCAAAAAATATTCCAATAAAGGAATTTAAAAAAAAATTAATTTATTAAATAAATGAAAATCTAAATTTCGACCCAAATCGAAAAAAAAAAACAAAAATAATTGAAAGGGGTTTGGTTGTACAGGGTATCTGCTCGTCTAGCACACACATGGGCTAGGCACTTTTACTTGTTAGCTGCTGCTGTTGCTGCAGTTCGCTGCCCGCCTCTCCACATTTAATTATTTTGTTTAAAAAGTTTTGACACCGCGACGCGCATGCAGATTTACAGTCTGGCAGCTCGGAGCTCGGAGCTAGGAGCTTGAAGCTGGCAGCAGCTTCTGCCCGCTGCCAGAATGACAGCCCTGGCCAGCGGCAGTGTTGCAAGTGGCTGAACGAGTGTGTGAGTGTGTGTTGCAAAGAGGGGCAAGACATGACGCTGTGGCAATAGCCAAAAAGAGAGAAGTTTTTTGCCATTCAATTTGAGTTGCGGCTTGTCGTAGATTGGATGGCAACACTGGCTGATGGCCTCCCTGGCTCCTCGTTAGTTTGTTGTTGCAGTTGTTTGTGCTTGTTGTTGTTGTTGGCCAAAGTGTATCTAGATGAAGGCGCGACAATTGGCATGCATTAAGTTGTTGCCGCAACAGCCGCAGCTAGTTTTATGGCAGCGTGTGAAGTTGCGCGTTGGATTAATTTAAGTCCAAGATGTGACAATGCGACAATGGAGCCTACGACTACGACTGCGACTTGGCCAATATTTGGCCAATTCAGTTGCATTTGTATATACTAAATTTAGATGTTGTTGTAGCGCAGGCTAACTAGACATAGTATGAATAGCAGCTGGCATTGAGGTTAAGCTCCGTTGACTAAAAAGATAAAAGTGATGATTGAATAAATACTCAATGCTTAATAAGAAACAAATTATAATTATATTTCATGTTTGTTTCTCTTTCCCAGAAAAGCTCTTAATCAAAATTCTTTTATCTCCTAGCAAGGAGCCTGCTAAAGGAAGGAGATTAAAAAGGACCATCCCAACAGATCTGGTCCAGCGATGCCTTTAGCGTCAGCCCAGCACACTAGAATCTAGTCTAGTCTAAATACCTATACTAACTGTATATAAATATACTACTCAATCAAAAAACTATTGTTAGGCAATGAACCAACCGATCCTCACTCTGATTTAATAATGCAATATAAGATTGAAGCAAAGATAAAGAAGAAAAATAATACTTTCTGCTGCCATCAAATCCCTTTCTCCATCAAATCCCTTTCTTAAACATTGTACTTTATGTGTTTGGACCAATATTATGTTAATAGCTTCTTTAATGCACATTTGTGTACCATAAATTGTTATTCTTGTATTACATAAACTGCACTTAGCTGACATTTGAAATTGATTTATGCTAAACTCAAGGAACAACGCCCGCAGCCATGCTAATTATTTGGCCCGAAACTGAATAATAATAATAGAAAAAACAACTAAATGCGCTGGCAATTTTAATTGTTAGTCAGCCGAGTATTTGCTTGGGCGCTTTGTCTGGCCGCCGCTGGAATTGAGCAAACGCAGAAACAAATTGAATTCGACGCATTCCACGGCTAATCAAGCGGACAACTGGCCAGCGTGGTGCTGGTGGTGCTGCTGGTGGTGGCGGTGGCGTTGGCTGTTTGCACTGGAATTTTAATTGCAACGAAATCGAAATCGCAGCCAAAAACCCCGCCACATACGAGCATCGATACACCCCAGCCCCTGCTCCAACCCCAGCCCCAGCTCAAGTCGCAGCGCACCTGTCGATGGGGCCCACAAATGCCAGCGGTTAGTCAGCTTGCGGTGGTGCACATTGGCTTTTGGTTTGTGGTTTACTTTCCGTTTCGGCCCGAAAGTCAAATCGAGTCAAAAAGTTAATTACGAGCAGCCAAAATTGTGTGCACTCTTGACACCGCACGTGACGTGACAATATGAGAGATGCCAGCAGCAGCCCGAAATACCCTGTAAGAAGCTTTTGCCCATATTTACAAACATTTTGTTTCCTATAGGCAAAAATTTAAAGTTCGTCGCGCCGAAGAATTAATACCCTTGCAGACAGAACCTTTTCAGATTAAAGAAATAGTTGATGCCAAAAAGTTGTTCCTCATTTTCGACCGATCGTTCCTATAGCAGCTATATATAGTATTTCCGGTTATACCATACCAACAGGGAGACTAGTTTGCAATGAAACAGACAAACGGACAGATGGACTCTTGTTTATATCAAATCGGTTATTGATGCTGATCAAGAATATATATACTTTATGGGGTCGGAGAGGTCGCCTTCTAGTGTTGCACAAAATTATAAAAAAAGTTGAAAAAAAAATATAGACAAAAGATATTTTGTTTAACTTTCGTTTGGTCTAAAAAAGTTTATAGCTTGCAATTTCTTACAGTGTATGGGAGCCTGCTAACTGTTTGCCGCTTTGCACTGGAATGTTTTTCATGCACTTAGGCAAATGCCCATTGAGCCTGGCTGCTCCTGGGGGCTCATTAAAAACTTTCTTCTGGCCAACATTGAACTCGACTTTTCCCGTGCAATCAGTTTTTTTTTTTTGTTTTGATTTTGGCCAAAACTACTTCATTGGCTGCGGCCAGTTCATGAATTTAATGACAGCTTCGTTATGGCGGGGCAAATAGGAAAATGTTGTTTTTTGTTGTTGTTGTAAATCATCGTCGCAGCCAGACATAATCTCAGCCAGCGGTCAGTGGGTTAATCATGGAGCTTGTGGCTGAGAGCTGCTGCTGCTGATGTTATTCGCGGGGCGCCCAATTAATCATGCCCTCTGACTTCCAGTGGAAAGAGCCCAACTCAGAAGTTGGCGAATCAAGCCGCAAAGAGGCGAAAGTTAACGTTGATTCTATGGCTCGGGGCGCAACGGGGTGGCCAACACTTTCACAGCCGAGATTATGCTCCAGCATGCAAATGCCTCATCAATCAGTTAGATACACACACACACACGCACACACACATACATGACGACCTTTTATGCAGATGCTGGCAAGTCAAACGTTCGGAACGCAGCTGACATTCCAGCTGGCTACTGTGCTGCGCCGCAGACGGCAATCAACGCGTCAAATGTGCAGGAAACACTGACTGCCGCCCCCTCAACTCCCCTCTACGACGTAAGCAAACACAGTTAGGCAAACCGTTTGCCATTTGGCTTGCAGCGATATGTGTGAAATCTTGAACAGTCGCAGTCGCAGCAAGCAGCATCCGAAGCTAGCAAAACGTTTTTGACAGCTGCCTACCAAATGGCAGCCCGTTCCAGCTGGGCAGCAGCTGGAAAAGAGCGGGCGGCGGCAAAGCAGTGCAGTGCAAAGCTCTTATTAGCTGCACGCTAATTTATGCCAGAAATGGGAAGAGAGCTGCCAATTGGAAATGAAAGAAAGAGCGAGACAAAGCGGCGCCAGGCGAATTGTGAAAAATGGCAATTGCCTGCAAAATTAGTGCACACAATTGCAGCTGGGCGCTGACCTTGAAAATTGAGCGAGCAACTAGAAGTGAGAACGAGAGAGAGAGAGAGAGAGAGAGAGAGAGAGAGAGAGGGAGAGCTGCAGCAGCTTAGCTGGCGCACACATACAGATATACATAAATAATTTTAATTTAATTGATAAACACTTACATACATATATAAATACACACATTTGCGCATGCTTGGCTTTGCCTTGGAAACAATTAAAATACAGTCTTATGACTCACCACACAACTAACTGTTCTTTGAAAGCACACACGTATAACACAACATAAGTCCGACACGCACTAACCCTTCGGCAGCTGGCAGAGCACTGAACGCATGCGAAATATATGTACATATGTATGTAAATTACTCAATGGGTTTAGCTTAGGCACCGTTACAGTTATGCTGCGCTCTCAATAGCGCCCTGCATTGTTGCTATTTTTGGCGCTCCTTCTGTTCCCTTTTCTGCATGATGCGTACGTCACAAATTTAAACAGCATAAGCTGAGCAGCATAGCTTTTCTATTGTTTCTAGCTAGCGAGGCCAATTCGATGTCGAATTGGAGTGAGATTTTGCTGACCAGCACTGTTATCGTTGTTTTCAAGGTGAGACAAATACACCAAAACTGTTACTCTATTGAGTTTATTTTTTTTTTAAAGGCACACTGAAACTTTTTATTAGCAAAACGTATTTTTTTCTTTTTGCTTATGATTTTACACATTGTGTGCAAATATTTATATATTTAATTTGTTCAACATGTGCCAAAAATATATATCAAAATATGTTTTTTTTTTTTCAAATGCCCAGAAAAATATAACAATGTTAATATAACAAAATGAAACATTTCTTCAATTTCTACTGCAAGTTCGAATTCGAGTTAGAGCGCTTATTGAACAGCAGACCATTTGCTGTTGCTTTTCGCTTCGAATTTAACTCGAATTTCGAGTTCGAAATTGCCCTGCTCTCATGCAAGTGACATGCTTCACCAAGCAGCCCTGTTAATACAAATGTTAACGCCTAAACTAACTTTCACTTGTCCCGAATCGAATCTTCGCATAATGTTGTCCATTCTCTTTATCGCGCGCTCTCTCCTTCTCTCTCTTTCTCTCTCTCTCGCTGTCTAGATCGCTCCGCATTCACACTTTCGGTTTTTAATTGCAAGCCGAAATTGAAACGGGCAGCAAATGGCAGAGGCAAAGGTAACCAACTACAACCTAAACCTGTAACCCGCGCCCCCCAGCGACGTGCCGATCATTTGCATAAAACAAACAACAATTTTTCGCATGCAAGTTGTGAGTGTGTGAATTGCGCGATCTAAACAGCGCTGTAAATGTGGCCCGCAGCGACGACGAGTGCAAAACGAAATCGACAAACACGAGCAGCGGCTCGCGACTGCGCAGTCGCCAGCGGCCCACGCTGCTAGGCCACGGGTGGATAAAGAGCAGAAAAGTGACGAGTGAAGAGAGAGCGGCAGCGAGAGCATATGAGGATGGCAGGGCAGCAAAAAGCGTCACATCAAACATGCATCAATAGGTACACACAAACACACACACATGTGTGCATTTGCAATTTGCAAATTTTGCATAGCCAACCAAAATGGAGGCTGGCCTCAGCTCTCGTTGCGGGGCCCAAGGCAGGTGCGGCTGTTGTCGTCGTCGTGGCGCGTTGAAAAGGAAATTTTTCATCTGGCAAACAAATGGTCCGAATGGAGTTGTTGCCCCGGCCGAAAGCGCATAGCGAAAAAAAAGGCTATCGCTATCGCTTGTGGCCAATCTGCATGCGCCGCGGCCTGGGCGAACGTTGCGCTGCGTGTGTGTGACCAGCCGGTGGAGCTGCTGCCGCTGCTGCCGCTGCCGCTGCCGCCGCAAAGAGCGGACAATGACAACAATGAACAAATCATGAGCACTTTGCATTTGCCAACAATCCACCCACCCCCTGGCCCATCTCCTTCCCCCTTCCGCTGTGTCCGGCCCAGCCAGCATTACATGCCACACAAAAGGCTAAACAGCTTAGAGATGAGCGCGAGCCAAGCACGGCACAGCACGAGCACGAACTTGAAACACCTCTTGAAGATTATTTGCAAACAAATTACTTTGAGTTACATTTAACTTAAATGAAAAATGAAAATTAAAAGCAATTTTCAGGCTATCCGTTTCCTTTTTTTTTGAGAATAACTTATCCTATTCCATGTTTCAACATACGGACAGACGGGCGGACGGAAAGACAGATGGACATGGCTAGATAGACTCGACTATCGAAGCTGAACAAGAATATATATGCTTTTTATTGGATCGCAGATGCTTGCTTTGTTCCTTCTTACCCATTTTCAATGGGTGCAGGGTATAAAGAGATAAGATTTTGAGAGGGATAACATTTGGTACATAAACCTAACAAGTTTCTAATAAGTGTCTTACCTAGAACTCAAGCTACCAATGCACATGATTGATGACATATTGGCCGTGGTTTGAGCTGTAGATTTATGAAGCATTTTAAGTTGAAGAGATAAGTTTTCCAGCGCGATTTGTAAGCACATTTCATTGAAGCTAAAAATTGAAGATAAGTTCAATACATCTTAATTCTAGTCTTGCATTAAGTATTATAGGAATAAGTTATTAATATAAAGAGCACGAAACAGTTTTGAATATATAGCTCGTGTCACGGCACGCGTTCATCTGTTGCATAGAGTATACATTGCTGTGTGTTTGTATGTGTCTGTGTGTGTGTGTGTGTGTGTTAAAGTGAGTCGACAACAAATGGCATTTTTAGCTTTTGACATTTCACGCGTTGCGGCAAGCGTTGCCCGTTTAGTCCGCGTTGTCACACACGTCGTATGCGTGATGTGATAATTTTTGGCATGCCGTGACCCGGCTGCCAACAACAACAACAGCAACAACAAGAACAACCTGGTCGGCTCTTGAAAGCTGATCGGCAATGGCAGTGGCAGCTTCTAATGCCAGACATTTGATTTGGCCAGCTAATTCACGACAATTTGCGCTGATCGGCGATTGCAGTTGGAGAATTCCCGTTGTTGCCGTGTTCCTGGCTGGCTTCACTTCCTAGCGGCAGCCGACGCGGCGGTCTACGCGCCTCTTTAGGCCGCAAATGCATTTTTAATTACATTGGCAAACATTTGCGCGTTGCCAAGCAGGCAGCAGGCAGCAGGCAGCAGGAGCAGGAGCAGGAGGAGCGATCTAACAATGGACTTGGACTTGCTGGCAGCGACTGCAACTCCATTTGCCTGATTGTTGTATTTTGGCTCGAACTGTTTAATGCACGGTTGCAGCTTGGCTCAAATGCCTCAGTCCCAGCCGCATCGAATCTGACCACGTATTGATTTCAGGCTATCTTTCTCTCTCTCTCTCTCTCTCTCTCTCTCTCTACCGCTCCCTCACGCCACGCCTTCTGTTTCGTTTTCCCACTCCCAGCGAGCTGTTTCCCAGTTCATCTTCGGCTGCTGCGCGTAAATTTTCATGTCGCTTCTTGATTTGCAAGCATTTAACAAAGTCAAAACTATTTTAATGCGCAGACGCGGCAGTTAATTAAAATTGCAACGAGCTGTTGACCATTTGTTATACCCTGTAACCATCAGAAATGGGGTATGCAACAGACAAATCAGCAACTTGTGCACCAGCAGAAAAAGCACTTAAATATTTAAATAAAATGAAATAACAAAATAAATCAAATAAACAAGAGGTTCTAGTCGGGAGCTAACGACTAGGGGATACCCTGAACCCTCTTCTTACAACATCAAATGCATATATATATTCTTTTTTAGAAGCTATATGTCAAGTTTGCTGACTCTAGTTCTTATTATTTACCAAAATTATCCAAAAAACAGGATATCGATATCGATTTTTATCGATTGAACGGAGTAAGTTATCGATTATCGGAAACAAACTCGATCTGCGCGGGAACTAGGAGCATCTACATCTCTAGCTCTTATAGGTTCTGAGATCCTCGCGTTCATACATACGGACAGACGGACGGACGGACAGACGGACATGGGTAGATCGACTCGGCTATTGGTGCTGATCACGAATATATATACTTTATGGGTTCAGGGTATAAAAAGTAACTCCTGACTGGAACTCGCCTCGTTTACTGCGCATTGATCTTGGTCAAATACTGGACTCGAGCTCTTGCAGCACAACTCAGAGTTCTGGCTAGAGGGTATAACATAGTCAGGCATAGATGGCAAGAGCATTCACTTGTCGTCGTAAATGATTTTGCTGTTATTGCTCGCTTGGCTATTTTGGGCAGCTCCCAGGGCAGCAGCTGGCAACTGGCGACTGGCAACTGGCAACTGGCAACTGGCAACTGGTAGCCACCCGACACTTGTCAGGCAGTGCTCGGAGCGCCACCAACAACTCACGACGGCAGCTTGGCGAATCTTTTGGCCGCTGGCCCGGGGCTGTGGTTGCCTTTGCCTTTGCCTTTAACCAAATCAAATTAATTTTAATGCCGTCGGCAGCTTTGGCGCACATTAATTACCGCAAGCATCTTTCGGCGAGTGCAACTGCAACTGCGCCTGCTCGGAGCATCGAGCATCTGCATCTCAACTTGGCGACTGGTTTATAATTCAATAAAATTTGATTAGGCATTAATTTGCCGTCGCAACTAATTAATGAGCGCACAAATGCGCCGATGCCGCGACCTCTGGGCTCGATCTATGCTTCCGCCTCGCAAATGCAGCCTCCTATTCAACTATTCCAACTTCCCCCCAAGCCCGATCTGAGTGCTTGCCATATTTGGTTAGATCTGAACGTTTAATGCCAACTTTTAGACTAAAACATATATTAAATGCTTTTCGCTGTGTCAAATGGGCGTTCAGCGGGGCTGGGCGGTGGGCGTGCCACACACACACTGCCACTAACAACAGCAACAACAACGACAACAACAGCAACAACAACGACAACACTCAGCAAAAATATCAAGTACTTTGCGCTCGCATCAAGTTTCTAGCTCAAAGTCTCTTTAACTAAGCACAAAACTATTTTTACAACAATTTTTTTATTAGTTGACGAAATGCTGTATTTATATAAGTTTTTTTGTACTTCAGTTAAGCTCGCGTTGCACTGGCTTTAAGTATGCTTTTCTTGTTATAAATAATCACTATTTTTTTTAGAATTTTTGAACTTAATTTAAGCACGCTTTATACTTATTAAAAGTGTGGCAATTGTTGTTATAAATGTTTACTGACGAATTCAAGATATTTGTTCTTATTTTCCAAACATTTCAGAGCATATTTGTGAGCAAGTGCTATAAATTTTAATCTAAAAAGTATTTTGAATTTCATTTAAGAAGCTTTTTACTTAATTTAAGAAAGTTTAAGGAAATAATTGAATACAGATCCAAATGAAGAGTGGAATAAAAGATGCTTGTCATAAGTATTTTGTGCTCAATTGAAGCAATTTCCTCAAAGTTATGAGAAGTTCCTTACCTTATTAAGGTAAGTTTATATATAATTTATATTTGTTTGTTACACTTAAGAACAGCTTTAAGTTAAGTAATATTAAAACTTAATTCAAATATATCATACGCTTAAGATTTGCGTGCTGAATTTAAGAAGTCTTGCAGCCTCTAGTTAAATTTTTCTGCGCTTTCCTCCTTTTATTTTAAAGTTAAGAAGAGTCTTAAGTCAAGCAATATTAGAGCTTAATTTAGGAACATTTTTGCATACAATTTACTTGAAATTTTCTTAAAAATATGAACTCTATAAAGATTATATTAGTTGTCTTTCGCCGAGTGTACTTGAAACAACAACAATGTTGTGGTACAGTACGACCTACTGCCTGGCTCTGTGGCATAATAGGCCAATTATTGCTGCAATTTGCATTAGAACATAGCCGCTGTACGGACGGACAAACACACACACAGGCACACACAGAGACACACACACTGGTTGTTTGAGATGAGCTTTAGCTGCATATTCGCATTATGAGAAGGAAGCTGGAGACGTCCAAAGAAATTCTTTAGCTCTGCGGCAGCGTGTTGTTATTATGAAACCGTTTAGAGAACGTGTTTGTGAACACCACAGTAATTTGGTTAGATTACCAAGGCGACGGCTCTGCCGCGGCGGCAACGTATGACGATGCATTCAATGCAAGCATATGACATGGACCAGGGGAAGGTTGCTGGAGGTGGCTGCAGCTTGAAGCTGGGGGAGCTGCCGCTGCCGCTGCTGCTGCGGACGTTGCCTGGAAAATTGGCAGCCAAACGCGACTCACAACGAATGTGGGCCAATCTATCACTGATGGAGCAGCAGCTCTTCCAGGCCAGTCGTACCATGAAGCAATCGCGTACCCGTTCCCGTTTCAGTCGAGGCGTGTGAATAGAAACGTTAGCGCTGGCACGTTCTGGGTGCCCAGCCTGATAAAAGTTGATTGCAAATTTATAGAGGAGCTCTGTGTGTGCGCGCGCACAGATTGGCCATAAATGTCAAGTTCCCTGTTCTCTCTCCCTATCTCTCTCCCTCTCGCTCTCTAGGTACCAGCTAACAGCCAAGAGCGGGAACAACTTAAGCGCCCAGTTTGATTAGAATAGCAATCTATCTACTGCTTCATTTATCTATCTATCTATCAATTTATCTACACACACACACATGTATGTCTTCAAAGTGTCATGGTAAAATATCAACGTGATTCTACACATGTAACTACAAACCAATCGATAACTCGATATATCGATAACATAATCGAGTTCATTGTCGCATGTATCGATATTCCTGTAACATTTGTAAATCTATGTGATTATTTTATTTCAAAGGAAAAGATATATCTAGTTAAATAGTTGCAAACTTATCAATAGCTTAATCAAATGTATCGATTACAAAATCGAACTCATTATCGCATATATCGATATTCATGTTATGTATGTACATTTTGTGTGGCCTCTCTTGAAGTTTGTTTAGTAAATTGGCATAACTTCTTTAATTAGCCATTCATATTGCGTTAAGCTTTGTATTTGAAGCAGGTTTAATAGTATAGAGATATCGATTGCACTTTTCTATCTCATCGATTGGCTGCTCTTGTCGATTGTTCTTGACAATATCGATAGGTATTAATCTCTGTTCTTTCACCCTTATCGCAAAGACAACAATGAACAATTGTGTTGATATATATCAATATATTAATTTTACATACCAAATATTTCAAACAATAGTTCAGTAACTAAATTATCTACTTCGAATGAATGATAGAATCGATAAGGGCAGCATTTGACTATCGATAGTCGACTGGCAACAGTATCTGATGCATGCATTATCGATAACTTTGGTAAACGCCCTATTTTAAAAACCAGACCAGAAATTCTATTATTTTTTAGATGCTATCTATCTTCTGTCCGTCAGCGCACGTAGATAAGCTACCTGTCAATTGTCAACACAAAAACAACTTCCGCAAGCACTCAATCATCTGGCAGCTGCTGTAACATCAGCTTTAACGGCAGCCTTAGCATCAGTATTTGCCACGAAAGTGAAAACCGATTCAGGAATTGTCCAGTGACTGCTCTTCTAATTGAATTAATTAGCAGCAGCTATGCAAATGCGGCAACTTGTTGCACATTTATTTTACGATTTTTATTCGCCTCTAGATGGTTACTTACTTAACATGTTCGCCAAGTGTCAACACAAACAACACAAGCACCACAAATAACGTGAGCTTAACAGTCGCATATATATATATATACATATTCACATGACTATTCACATGAGTATTCACATAAGTATTCACATATGCTGGCCCATTATTCTTTAAACTGCGCCGCAAGCAGCCGCAATCTGACTGATCTCGATCTAGAGCTCTTATGGGCTATACACTATCTAGAGAGTCCTTTGGCTTTGTCATGCTTTACAGATGAAAGAAGTTTGAATATTTTATAAATCCTTTTTCTACATATTCCTTTCTCATAAACTTATATGGAAGACCCACTTCACTAGCATGAATAAATGGATGGGGAAAGCAAGGTTTACCAGGCGCACCTAAAAGCAGGAAGCTGGTTCAAACTACGAAGCATACCACATTTTGATTTGTCTTGTTTTACACATGAATGAAATATGATTATTTTATATATTGTTTTTCTATATATTCTTTTTCCATAAACTTATATGGAAGATCCAGTCCTCTAGCATGAATAAATGGCCCTCGCAAACCAGGTTAATTAAACGCAACTGAAAGCAGGAAGCTGGTTCAAACCGACAGTGAACCAATCCATTGTCTAATTATGTTAGGTATTTTGTTTAACCAATTCGAATTCAATCCAAAGATATTTTCTACAAAAATCCCTTGATTTTCATATCCCTTTATAGCTAAGCTTCTTGGCGTTAATTAGTAAAGGGCATCTGAGCTTCGGCATGCCCGGGACAAGCTGTGCATTCTTATGGCGGTTTGTTTGCACTCGTATTTCATTTTAGCAGCAACAGCAGCGACGACGACGACGACGACGACGGCGAAGGCAACGCCAACACACTCCAAAGCTGCTGCCAAGTAGACCTTCAGACGCCAAACACTCCAACGCCAGCCGAACAGCCAGCCAACGCGACAAGAGCAGTCAGCCAGTCAGCCAGTGGGACAGGTGGGACAGCTGGACGGGTGGGACAGGTGGGACAGTGGGACAAATAGACAGCGAGACAGTTGGACTGGTAACAGCCGACAGTTGGGCTTGCAATTGCGCACTTTTGAATGCGACTACAATTTTGATACGTACAACACCACAAAAAGCACCACACAGCACCACCGAGCACCACCGAGCAACACGCGGCAACACCACACACAGAGACCGCGCGGTCTTCCATCTTTATAAGTTGAAAATGGCAAGCATTCGAATATTGGTAAGTCGATGCGTTAATGCCCTGCACAGTAAAGAGTTTGTCCTGAATGACTAAAAACTTATCAAAACGCAAGAGCGAGGGCCTAGACAATTCCTGGTTCCACCTGGTTTCGGACAATTCGAACTTTAAGTGGATAAAAACGTAGGTCAAAGTTTGCAAAGCTTCAGACATGAACAAGCGTCGAACTAACGAGCGAAAAGTCGCTGGTTCAAATCCAGCAAATCCTAAAAAAAAAACATAAGTAAAGAACGACCATAAAATGGAAAATGACAAATATAAATGTTAAATCAAATATATCTTTTATTTTCCTTGCTTTATCAGCTACAATTCTATGATATTCCTTGACAGAAAGTTAAGAGATCGTACCCCTTGAATAGAGCGAAGCGGAAAGTTTGGAGATTGAGCGCCTTGTGAGCAGAACGGAGCAGGAAGTGTAGGGTTCGAACCCACAGGAAGACAACGTATTCCAATAATTATAATGAAATACAATTCTGTCATATGTATTTTTTAAATAGTGCGGACCAGGAAGATAAGGGATGCAGCCAATTGAATTGAAGTTTGAGGATCGAACCCCATGAAATTAAAGTATTCTAATATAGATCTTGATCTCTTGATCTTGACTGAACTGTTTGATTTCGATATCTATAGCTAAGAAAAAAGCAGCCAAATCAAAGCTAAAACCAGGCAAGCCGTTAAGTATTCAACTTGCATGCACACTTCACGCCTAAATTCGTATACCCGCATTGTTAGGGTATACACATATAAGAAATATAGCCGCCATGTGTTTTGCAGCTCATTTGTTTATTCAGTGCTTGATTCATTCACCTGCGCTCGCAGCTCGCAGTTCGCAGTTGGCCTCAAGTGCATTCAGGCAGCGAGTCGGCGGGTCGACCTGGCTGTGTGGATATGTATGCATGTGACTTGGCGGATTGACACCTGACATGGCTGCAGAGCTGCACAGCTGATAGTCAGTCGAGTGGCCCGCAACTCAAATTGCCTTATCTCTAGGGGGCAGTTGCGGCTTCGAGCTGCGGCGGCGGAGTCTGCTCTAGTTGCTTGCAAATATACCTAAGTGTATTTATATTAGATACGACTCGTGTCTATATAATTATATAAGGCCCGATTTGGTTGGCCTGTGCGCGAACACCACTCGCAGCGCTTGGCAGCGCAGGCGTTGAATTATTAGAATGAATAAACTTGTAGATGATTCATGCACTCATTTACTCACCCAACGATCGATCGATCTATCACACGATTTATGGCCATGTTGATAGGCAAATATCCGTTTTAGCTCTGCAACTCATCAAAATGTCGAAATTAGTACTTAAGGGTTACATTTTTTTTATCGATTGGTGTGTAATACATGTATCGATAAATCAAACGATACGATGGCGTAACAAGATATAATTGCTTAATATAGATATAGAGTACAGATATAGCTACAGATATAGATAGATATAGAAATAGATGAAGTTTGATATAGATATTAGCTAAATAGATACAGATAGACATATATAAAGACATATAGATAGATAGATAATATATATAGATATATCGATATATAGATATGTAGATATATAGTTATAAGATATATAGGTATATAGTTATAAAGATATATAGATATATAGATAGATAGATATATAGGTATATACATAGATGTATAGGCATATAGATATATAGATATAAATAGATAAAGATATATAGATATATAGGTTTATAAATATATAGATATATAGACATATAGATATATAGATGATATATATAGATATAAAAAGATACATAAATATATAGGTATATATTTAATATAGATATATAGATATAAGTATAATATAGATATATAGATACTATATAGATTATTAGAATTAGAGATGTATGGCTTTAGATTTATAGATGTATAGATATATAGATGAATAGATATGCATATAGGTATAGATCGAATAAATCGAATGCAGATTGACATTATAACTTTCTGTATTTTTATTGTATTCAGCGTATGCGTACAAATCGAATGTTGGATATGGTTTAGTTTGCTTTATAAGTAAGTATATATGTTTCAATATAATCACACTAATACTACTATCAGTCTACGTATGCATAAGGGTTATATAATCATATATATATATATATATATATATATATGTGAGTGTTAAGAAAAGAAAAGTTAAAGGACTCTAACTGAGGTGGGCTCGAATAACTAAATAAGTAAATCTAAAACTAGGCCAGCTTCGTTTACAACCTGCGCATTTGCACTTTGAAATCATAGGTATATAGTACATATAGTTATAGATATATATATGATATATATTAGAAAATTGTCATAAATCATAAATATATTATAAACTTTCCACTCTCGCCGTCAATGACACAATCACAAAAATAGGTCGCCTAGCCGACCGAGGCGCTTATTAAATAATACCCATAAAGATTATGCATATAGTTTAAAACACATCACAAAAATGTTTGTTTTCTTCTTCATCTTCTTTCTTCTTCTTGAAGTAGGTTTTGTGTATATAATAATATTTGTTGTCTACCATTTTTTTTCTTCTTTTATTCGTTTTTCATATGCCTATTAATTGATTCATATGTGTGTGGTATATATGTCTATGTATGCGAATCTTGCAAGTGAAGTCTACTTTGTTTTTCAACTATTATTAATATATATTCATTTGCGATCCGAGTCGCTTGTATATATTTTTATCTACTGATATTTTGGTCAGATCTCAAAATTCAAATTCGAATACGTGCACTCAACAAAAAATTGTTACCTACATTTTTATCAAGATTTGCCGCAAATAAAAAAGTTTTCCAATTTCAAAAAGTTTACGTTTTTAAAAAAAAAATCAACCGAAAAAAAACAATTTTGAATTTTAAGGAAAATAGAAAAAGTTTTCATGTAAGGCAAATTTTCAAAATTAGTAGCACATTTTTTTTTGAGTGTATAAGTATACAAGTGCATATATATATAAGGTGTATATATGTGTGTGTGTATATATATGATATACTTTGGATTCTTCTTCTTATTTGTTTCGGGGTGGGCTCAAATCATAGCTAAATTCTATTTGGACAGTCTCTCAAACAGTTGGATTCATATTTCTATTTTTTCGCTGAAAAGTGGCTTCATCAAATATAAAAAAAAAAGTCTTTCAAAAGGTATTGTTGTTGTTGTTATTGGGGGGAACACTGTGGTCTATTGGTGGTACTCTACGTGCTGGTGCTGCATGCTGCATCCAAATCCGGCTTAGACCCGTCGATTGCTCTGCTCCTGCTGCAGATTCACATTGTTCATGACGGCGTTCATGTCCACGACGACGGCATCGTTCAGCTGGCATTTGCCGGGCGATTCCAGCTCCGTTTGACCCTCGAGCAGGCCAACATGCAGTCCATTGGGCGTGCCAGCGGGCAGATCCTACATTTTGCATCAAATGCATCAAGCATCAGAGGGTAGTGCGAATCACCTGAGTTACCTGATAATTGACAGCAGCGGCATCCAGAGCCATCAGCTCCTTGCGGGACAGCTCCTCGACGACGGCGGCGGCATAGCAATCCCCGAGCATGTTGTTGGTGGTGCGAATGCGATCACTGCAATATCTGAGCCTTTAAACATCCACGCAAATACAGTAAAAACTCTGCCTAACGGACACAGCTGCCCTGCGGACTCGAGCTCCAAGTTGTCTTCTTTTTTCCCAGATTGATAAATATGCGATATGATATAGTGCTCCGATCCAATCGATTGTAACTTATCTACACATCTACTTATCATCAGATATTTGTAGATATATTCTGGAGGTAAGTTCAAACCGGCCAGATCAATTTGCTTAGAAGCAGACAAAGGTACAGACAGACCTGGCTATGACGAACAGTTTACTTATAAAATATGCTTCTAAATATGCTTTACAGTGTCAGAAATATCTCCCTCTAAGCGAAACACAGTCGAAAAAAGAGAAATATTGTAGATTTTTCCTGAAGGTAGATCAATTTGCATGAAAACAGACAAAGGTACAGACAGACCTGGCTATGACGAACAGTTTACTTATAAAATATGCTTCTAAACATGCTTGCATAGTATCAAAAAACATCTTCCTCTAAGCGAAAGACAGTCAAGAAAAGAGAAATAATGTAGATATTTCCTGAAAGTAGAGCAATTTGCATGGAAACAGACAAAGGTACAGACAGACCTGGCTATGATGAACAGTTCACTTATAAAATATGCTTCTAAACATGCTTGCATAGTATCAAAAAACATCTTCCTCTAAGCGAAAGACAGTCAAAAAAAGAGAAACGATGCCTTTGCAGTGGAAACATACTGGTGCGTTCAAGGGAGTTTTCACTGTATGTGTCTATGTTCACCTGGTTTACTTACACAAACCAATCCACGGCGAAGAGCAGCGTCACATCCTGAACGGGCGCATCGATGGCGGTGAGGACAACCAGAAGTAGGACCAGAGCCGCGCTCGGCACACTGGCCGAGCTCATGGAGGCCGCCGTGGAGGTGAGCAGGACGGTGAGGAGTTCGCCAAAGCCGAGTACCATGCCGCTCATCTGGGCTATAAAGATGGAGGCGACGGCTATGAAGAGGGCGGTGCCGTCCATGTTGATGTTGCAGCCGATGGGCAGGACGAAGCGTGTGATGCGCGGATCGATGCGCAGCTTCTCGTTCATGCAGCGGAATGTGAGCGGCAAGGCGGCGGCGCTGCAGGCGTTGCCAGATCAATTGAAGTGCGTTTCGGGCGTGGTTTCAAATTCGTTATCGATTGTGATTTAAATTCGATTGTTTTGTTTTTTTTTTTTTTTGTGAGTTTTGTGAGTTTTCAAATCAAAAGAGTTTGTTTTTTTTTTTTTTATAAAAGAGAACGTATGGAATATCAAATCGATTGGTAACCAAAAAGAAGGAAAAATACTTGTAACATGTTAAACGTTCGCATAACAACCAGAGAGAGTGAGAGAGTGGGGGGATTATATGTCTCCACAAAGAGAGAGCAAGAGAGAGAGAGAGAGAGAGCATAGATTTTAATGGCTTACGTTGATGCGGTGGCAAATGCGGTTAGCATGGCCTCAATGAGGCCCGCGTAGAACTTGAAGGGATTGCGTCGCACGAACACAAAGTAGATGAACTGCATCACAATGAACTGGTAGATCACCACACCGATGGCCACCGTTATGATGAACCAAACGAGCTGCGCCATCACCAGACTCAGATTATCGACACTCAGTATTTTGCCAGCGATGACCGAACTGATGCCCACCGGTGTCAGCCACATGACGCACGTCACCATTTTCATGATCACCTCGAAGACGGCCGCAAAGAAGTCCACAACCACCTGACCCTTCTGCCCGATGGTGCCCAGTACGGTGCCAAACACAAGACAAAAGAACACAATGCCCAAAGTATTTGTGCCGCTGCGATATTGTACGTCCCGCACCAGCACCACCTCCTCCAGTTCCGGCAGCTGTCGTTGCGCCTCCACGCCGTGCAACAGCGCCGCAGCCGTATCATTTGTCACCGTGTCATTCGGGCTGTGGACCGGGATTGGCTTGGGCAGGTAGACGGTGTGCGCCTGCTGTATCGATGCCTGGAATAGGTTGTCCGGAAATACGTTTCTGCAAGCATTCAAAATATTCACAGTCTGTAACGGACGCCGCGAGAAGTTAACAGTCTTGTAAGCAGTGTAAGCTAACAGTACGTCAAGCAGGGAACAAGCAGTTGAAGTGAAGTTGTAGCAGTTACTTTAAAAGGTAATAAGCAGTGCAACTTATCAGAGTCAAGCAGTTCTTGCTGGCAGGTAAGCAGATTTGCTTAACAGTTTTGCTAACAGTTAACAGTGCGTTAAATTATTGATACACAGATATTTTACGATAAAGTCCACTTTACGAAATTTAAAAAGAATCTTCTTGCCAAATAAAAACGCATAAGGCATTTAAGTTCATACTTAAGGTAACAAATGGAATATCTTAATAAATTAATAAAATCAACAAATGCTTCAAAGATCTAACGGACTGAATCTATGTGCATAGGAGGATTGTATTAAAACATATAAATAATAAATAAATAACAATAAAAAGCTATTTAAAACAATAGCAATGAACTACTTTTTTTGACGCTTACTCTTAATATGTTTAATGGTTCTTTTTATATATGCAAATATAGGTAAATGATAAGATAAAATATATAACACCTTCAACACTTAAACTATTGCTTATAAAGAATAAGCAACAGAAAAATATAGGAAAGCTTCAAAATATATCTTTCTATCTTAAGCGTACTAAAATCATGTGAGTGGACCCGAAACTCCCCT